AGCCAAGTCCAATGGAAGACAAATTTAGGTATGGTCTATAACAGATGGTACCAAGAGGCCTGGAAAGAATGGTATTACCTATTGGAGTGAGAAGGGAAGAGAGCCCATTGTCCTGTAAAATGAATGCATATTTTATGTAACAAATCAATTTGATTACAATATTGTAGACATTTCTGGTATATCATGAGGAAATGCGTGTTTTTAAAACAAACACATGTGGTGCACTTACTATATGCCAACACTGTTTTAAGTGTCTTACAATCCTCACAAACATTTTTTAAAATTGATATTACTGTCATCTCCATTTTACAGATGAGGAGACTGAGGCACAGACTGGGTACAAAACTTGTCTGAGGTACACAGGTAGTATGTCAACAGTCTGTTTTCAAACTAAGAAGTCAGCTCTGGAGTCCTTAGGAATAAAATTTCACGCAGTTAAAAGTCTTTCTAGAAAATGTGAAATTTTGTCTGTCCCTCTTCCTCAATTCCGTAGCACTCCCAGATTTTCACCTGATGCTCTGGATTTGTTGTGGGGTACACATGTGGTTTGGCTCCTCTGAGACCCACATCTCTGAGGATGAAAACTGAGAATGTTGAACCATGGAGGTTAGTGGAGTTAACTCAGGGGGTAGGGTGGCGGGGTGGCCAGCAGGAGAAACAGATGCTGCTTCAGTCTGGAAGAAACAAGTGTTCGCTCCAAGCCCTGCTTTAGAAAGCCTCTTTGTTTTATGACTCTGGGTGCAAGCAACCCTTTTAATTTTGTGTTTTGGATTCCAGCCATAGGAGGCCTTCTTTAATGTAGCAGATGGCTGGAGACAGGCGAGCCAGGTTCTTCCACTCTAAAACAAGCTGCCTTCCCCAGAGAGGAGTCTCCTAATTATGTTGTTCTGAAAAAGAAAGAGATAACTTAAAATGGGCACATTAAACGTACACCATATGTAATGCAACCACTGTTTTGAGCATCTGCAAACGTGTAGATCAGGAGAGCCTTTGAGAATATGATGAAAGCTATGGGCTTTTTCTGCAGAAAATTCGTACATAGGTATAAATGAAAAATGTGCACAAGGGGCTCATGGATTCTCTGACACTTTCTCTGAAGCTTCGAGATCCCTGTGCTTCAATAGAGGCAGCTTCCATTCTTTTACTTTTCTCTTCCCAGTACATTACGATTTCAACTTCTCAGTTGTGAAAATAAAGAGATTTGTCTGTGGACTCTTACGGAAACATTTCATGCCAGATCACCAAAGATTCACTGGAAAAAAAGCCTTTCAAATATTCTATAAAATCACTTTAGTGTAATCTCTGGTTGACATGGAATTTGGGTTCATTCTTTTAAAGATGAACATGAAAGTTCTTTTGGCCAATTTTAACACAGTGATTTCTCTCTCTCTCTCTGAACTGTGGAGTATGTCTTTGTGCATCACTTCTTGGGAACTCGCCCTTCTTGGAACTCTTTTCTGTTTAGCTCTGGCTCTGGCACTGTTTTCAATATTAAGGATGGGGGAAGGGGTTGCTCTGCCAATAGAAGGACATACAAGGATTTCTCAGAGTTGGGGATGGAAGTTTTATTGTTTCTAAGGATCCTGTCTGGAGGAGCCATACAAACTGATGTCCACTTTTCATGGCTGTCTGTAGATGTGAGGTGTCTTTGACGTATCTACCCAGAGCCCTTTGAGGATCCTTGTGATGTCAATTGCTGATACATCTATGCTGTGTGATGCCCCCCAAATGCCATTGCATTCTTCCGGCTCTACTGGGGCCTGAGAATTAGTTAGGCAGAATCTTCTGAGCTACTACAGCAATTTGTTGAATTGAGATATTTTTTAAGGATATTCAAAACCAAACCAAATTGGCTCAATGACTTGACATATAAAAATAAAACTTAAAAATAATATGAAGTAGGTTAATTCCAATTTTTCATGTTCCATGCATTATCCCATTTCCTGAAAACTGCCTCCTTCTTAGATCTAGAAAATTCAAGATGGGAACTAAACATTGAGGCTAATTCTCTATGTGAAATGAATAAGCCTTTTGAAAATTTTGAAAGAAAAGGTCCATTTCCTTTCTTAACACCCAATTAAAGAAAAACTATCTGGGGTTTAAATCAAGGTTTCTTAACCTCTGCACTATTGACATTTTGGGCTGGATAATTGTTGACAGAAGGTGGCTGCTCTGGCATTACAGGATGTTTAGCAGCATCCCTGGCCTCTGCCCACTAGGTGCCAGTAGCACTGCCCTCCTCCTTGTGGCAACCAAGAAAGGGTTCAAACTGCCAAATGTTTCCTGGGTGCGGTCACCCTTGGTTGAAAAGCACTGGCCTAAATTATACAGAAATAATTTTCTCTACTAGTAAAGTAAAATTGAATATTGAAGCTGCTGATCTTCTTGATCAGGTAGGTGGCTAAACTGAAAAAGCAGTTTGTCTATTTTGTTGTCTCATGGATTGTATCTACATGTTCAGAGCATCCTGTTCCATATTTGTTCTTAGATCAAAAAACAGGGTCTTCCTTATTCCATTCCTAAGGCTCTGGCAAGCCTGATCATTTGATAATCTTGTTGACATTATATAGATAGCGAACCTTGGACTTCCTATACCTTTGAAGTCTGGGTAATTTCTCAATCCTTTTGGAAGGCTCATGCTGGCTGCTGGAGTCTCCATTCCTCCCTTCTATATAATTATCTCTTCCAACTAAAGACCTAGGCTGACATAGTAACTCAGAGAGATTGGAGTCTCTGGTCGATTTTATCAATATATGAACTCATAGTTCAGGAAGCAAAACTGTTGGCTTTAGGATTACATATGTAACTATTGAAAAGGAATCCTGTAATCACAAATTGTTCTTACATATGTGCAAACAATTTGTTTGGGTAAGGATTTTACTGGCTGTTTGAAGTGAGGAGTGGCTCTAGCATACGAAATATTTAAACCAAATTGTTATGTCCTGTAATGTTCAACAAAGCACTCGGTAAACACCAGTTCTGAATAAAAGGTATCCTCTAAGGCAGAGTCAAGGCACTTCTGGGAGCTGTAAATCCATACAGGCTCCAGAAATACATGCCTTCCAAGAGTTGGAAATTTCTGAATTAACAACAAATAATCAGTCAGTGTGACAAAGAGTTAAAGCACACAGACTTTACTTTCACAAAGTTTATGATGTAGTAAAGAAGTTTAACATGTAGACCTGATGTAGACCTGAGATTGCAAACTGATGGCCAGCAGGCTAAATTGGACCATGGATTTGTTTTGTTTGGCTTGTACAGGGTTGGCCTCCTGAATGTCTAAGAGAGGGAGAAGAAGGGGGAGGAGAGAGAGGGTGGGTAGTGGAGGGAGAGATTGCTAAAGAGATAAACTGATATTTGGTTTTTGCATAAAAAATACAAGTTTTCAGCTTCCTTTGAAAAATAAGATTTGCCAACACTGGGCCCTTATCCCTACATTTTCCCCTGGTAACAGTTGGCTAGAGTAGAACAGCAGCTGTTCTCTTTGGTGGGAGCAGACACTCTCTGGTTCCCAACTCTGGCTCACTTTCTCCCTCACCAGGCCTGTCACCATTTGAGGTGGCCACTTCAACGCTGAGACTTTTGCAACCTTTCTTTGGTCTTTTCTCCATGGAAACAACTTACTAGAGCCTGGAACAAAAACAAAGACAAACAAACAAACAAAATAGCTGCCCCATTTGTGTATCAGGTGATATGACACTGGCTCTGGTATTGGAGATGGCAATAAAGGCAATGAGAAATTGTCAGATTTAGGTTGTACAGTATTTGAAGGCAGATTTAATAGAACTGATGAATTGTATCAGTCTGGGAATTGATTAAACAATGATTCCAATTTTTCTTTTTTAAAATTTTTTTTAGTTGTTGATGGACTTTTATTTTCACTTATTTGTATGTGGTGCTGAGAATTGAACCCAGTGCCTCATGCATTCTAGGCAAGCATGCTACTGCTGAGCCACAACCCCAGCCCTCTTTCCTTTTCTTTTCTTTCTTTCTTCTTTCCTTTCCCTTCCTTCCTTCCTTCCTTCCTTCCTTCCATCAGGGGTTGAACCCAGGGGCCCTTAACCACTGATCCACATCCCCAGCTTTCTTTTATATTTTATGTGGAGCCAGTTGCTGAGTTGCTTAGGGCTTTGCTAAATTGCTGAGACTGGCTTTGAACTCGAGATCCTCCTGTCTCTGTCTCCCAAGCGGCTGGGATTACAAGCGTGCTCCGCAGCACCCGGCCCCAGGTTTGATTTTTAATTGATTTTAAGAGAAAACCTATAATGGAATAGTGGAAAATCAGTATTGACCTTTTAAAATTAAAACAAAAGTATTTAAAAATTTTCCTCACTAGTGCTTTCCAAAGTCAGGTGCCCTAGGTGGTTTCAGTATCATATTCTGGGAAATGCTAACACTTTGGGGAATTTGGAGGGTAAAGGGGAGAATCTCAATCACTGGGAACAGAGGGGTGACATTTATCAGCCTGTGAGTGCCCTCTCTGCACCCTTGGCCCACTTGTCCAGGCCTGCATATCCAGGAGGTGGAGGAGTGAGAATTCCAGGGCTTCAAGATTGCCCTTCTTCAGAGTTATGGCTGCATCCAGGAGGAAGCTGTAAGTTGTTCAGAAACTTGCTTTGAAGCGACTTTTCCATAGTAAGAGGACTCTTTTCCATTCAGATTTATATTATAAATAACTAAAATTAGCGAACTTATGTTTGAAAATACCTTTGCTTGCACTTTATATATAGCAGAGAAATCTCCAACTGTCCATATCCAGGACAATTTATGATAATGTGTGTTCATTTGTTTTGTAGAGGGAGCTGCTGCCTACAACGGACTCCCACTCGCAGGCCTGGCCATTGACGCGAGGAGCCTAGGACTGATCGGAAGTTGGGGTTTGCAGGCTCAAAGCCAAGCGCCGAGGCTTCCTCAGGCTGCCGGGTTAAGGCGGCCCTCCCTTCCTCCCCGCAGCGGTCACTCGGCCCTGGCGCGCATGCGCCGACCCCAGCGGGCGTCCTCCCAGGCTTGCTCCTTCCCTCCCTCCCTCCCTCATCCGGGTCCTGGGCAAGCGGGCGCCTTGCGCGTGTCCTGCGGCCAAGCTGCTAATAAAGTTGCAGCGCGGGGAAGCGCAACGACGGCGCCAGAAGAGCGCGCCCAGCCGGCCCGCGAGTGAGTGAGGGGCCCCGGGGCGGGCGAACGGGGCCGGAGGCTGCTGGCTCGGTCCGGACGCGGCTTGTCCTCAGGCCCTAGCCGGGCTCGGGCTGAGGCGGGGGCGTTCGGTCGCGGGCGGGGCAGTTAGGGCCCAGGGCCTGTGGGGCTGGAGGTAGGCCTAGTCCAGCCTGTCGGGGTCCGGGCGGGCAGGGATGAGACTGTCCAGCCGGCTGAGGAGGCCTCGTCTGCGGTCCGGGACGTCCTGAGGCGGGACCGGTTCTGGCCCTTGTCCCACCTTCGCGGTTCGCGCCCGGAAGGTGGAGGCACGCGTTCTGGACGACCCCGAAGGGCTCCCCGGTCCCACTTATGTCCAGGGGAGCAGTTTGCTACCCTACCGCTTCTCAGCACCACCTTCGCTCGATACACACCCCTGATAGGATTGCCCTGTTCAGTGGAGCAGCAGCTAGGTCTGCTGCACCGCAAAGGTGTCCAATGGTCTGATGAATCTGTGCCGCCGTTTCTTTGTGTTTCAAAGATAAGGATCCACGCTTATCGGTGGGAATTACACTCTGGGCATTGGTGACCTGCTGCTGCACTCAGCTGGTACTTAGATCTGGTTTCCACCACTTGCCATGTCAGCTTTCAGCATTGCAAAGATTTCTTGTACTTCATATAAACTTCCGTAAGCTGCAAAGGAGAATGCCCAAGCAATGTTTCCTTCCCATCATCATGTTCACCCCTACCAGGTCCTTAAATATGAGAACTAAATTCATTTTCCAGCCCCCCCCCCCACCTTCCCTTTTTCCTTCTTCCCTTTTCAACTGCTGTTATTACGTGGAGTTTGGAGCCTAAGCTTTGAAAACTCCCATGTGGCGCCTGTCTTAAGTCCGAGCATGCTCAATAGCAAAAACAGATTGGGGTTGCAAAAAAGAACCCGGGTGAGGATAGTTGGGGTATTTGGAGATTTGCCTGTTTCCTGACCATATGTTTCAATTCTGGTCTGGATGACATTGGAGAATGGGGCATAAGCCAGCCTAGAGGTGAGGAATGCCTGAACACCCTAGGCCAGATTTTTATCTGAACTGTAAAGACAATGTTTCCTGACCAGCTGGAGGTCTGGTGGGTGGGAGAGGGAGCATTCCTGGCTGCTTTTGCGTTGAAATGGGTGTGGTGCTAAGTATATCTTGTTTACCTTGTCTTTCTATTGGAAAAAGTTTTGAAGTCTGGTTGAGTTTGTCACATCATGCCTGTTGCCTAGCACTACCAAAAGTATTCTTATCTAGTAACAAAGACTGGAATAGGTGGAGATTGAGGCTTGGCTTCACTGAAGTTGAGGGAAAGGGTCCAAGTGTTTTTTTGGTTTTTTGGCACTGGGGATTGAACCCAGGGACACTTTACTACTGAGCTACATTCCTAGCCCTTTTTATCTTTTTTATTTAGAGACAGGGTTTTGCTAAATTGCTGAGGCTGGCCTTGAACTTGGCGATCATCCTGCCTCAACCTCCCGAGTCGCTGGAAATTTTACAGGCATGTGTCACTGTACCAGCAACAAGTGTTGTTTTAATTCTTTTAAAAACTAGAGTCATTAAATTTCCTTAGAGAACTCGAATGCTAAGTGAATTAGTTTTAATTTTAATTTAAAAGTTGAAAGCCTTAGTCCCAGTAGATTAGTAACATTCCAAATAGTTTAATATTTCTGCCAAATGCCAATGTGGTAGTGTCTGTTTGCAGAAGCAATACCTACACTCAGTATATCACACATTGACCTGATATCATTTTAAAATTAATGTGTTCCAAATTCTGTAAGAAGTTATTTGTGGATCTATTATGTATTCTTTGTATATATTCTATATATTTTTTTTTATAAGGAGAGTAACTAAGAACAGAGTAGGGATGAAGAGCATGAGAAGAAGATTAACATTAAACTGGGATGAGAGGTGGGAGGGAAAGGGAGAGAGAAGGGAAATTGCATGGAAATGGAAGGAGACCCTCAGGGTTATACAAAATTACATACAAGAGGAAGTGAGGGGAAAGGGGAAAATAATACAAGGGGGAGAAATGAATGACAGTAGAGGGGGTAGAGAGAGAAGAGGGGAGGGGAGGATAGTAGAGGATAGGAAAGGCAGCAGAATACAACAGACACTAGTATGGCAATATGTAAATCAATGGATGTGTAACTGATGTGATTCTGCAATCTGTATATGGGGTAAAAATGGGAGTTCATAACCCACTTGAATCAAAGTGTGAAATATGATATATCAAGAACTATGTAATGTTTTGAACAACCAACAATAAAAAATTTAAAAAAATAAAATTTAACCCCTTTGGTTAACTTTTTTTGAAGGGGGTGTCTAAGGTAAAACCTCAAATTATAAAAATATAAAACAACTCAGAAAGAGACAATTTAATAAATTCTAACCTTCATAGTAGTTATATATGTGCTTAGGTTTAAAAATTTTGGATTATACATATTATGTCTAGATTTTTAAAATTTTATTTTTGTTTATTATTGTGTGATCATCAATATGCATCCTCTTTTCCTTCCCTCTATATTGCTGCTCCTGCAGACAGTCCTTATTATCTAACTGCTGTTACCATATAAACTGTTGTTTATCACAAATGCCCATTCATCATTTTGTGTTTCTCTTACTTTCAAATCATAGCTGAAATAGGAAGTAAAGGTGGACTGACTTTCCTCTTAAATTTTAAATGTGTCCATATGATATGGTTTAGTTAAAAAGAGGAAGAGAACTGGGAAAAAATGAAATTTTTGTAGGTTCTATACACATCTAGTAGTATTATCTTTTTGTCTGGTTCACTGTGGTAGGCGCCACAGAAATGGGTAGATTGATATGCTCATTTCTTTTCCCTCTGGCAAAGTGAGCTATTAATTTCAGTGGGAGACAGTGGCAGAATGTTGTTACTAATGAGGTTTGAATCAGATTGTTGTTTACTGTTGGTTATGTAACATGTTGCTGGGAGTATTATTAAAAGTTGCATTCTGTAGCAAGGTAGAAAGGCAAGTTCATTCTGCTTACCCTCTTCACTGGATTTTAATTCTTGGCTGAACCTGAAGGCACATTAAGAGTGCAACCATAATTATACCTGGGCAGCCTGTCTGTTTCCTGTTTTCACCATGAACTCAAACATTATGATTTGCAGTGATGATCTTTTTTGTCCTTTGCGTTAAATAGAGGCAATGTGTTTTTCCTCTCTGCTGAAAACAGATTTGTAACTTGGTCAAATCAAAGAATTTAGTGTTTTGAAGACTGGGCAGTAAAAAACCAAACAGTTTCTCATTTCTTAGGAACTTATTTTTAAAAACCATATAAAAACTCCATTTCTTAATATATTCTTTGATTATGTTTTATGTAAATTTTAATATTACTAGTAGCTTGTAGAGTCTTTGAATTAAAAAAGCCCTTTTTTGTTTATGACTTATCAATGTTTATTATTACCAGATGTATTTGTTGGTTTAGGCAGTGAGCTCCACATCTGGGTGAATTTCAGAGCTGATATGAATACACTGAAGGATATAGGTACCATTTTCTCCCTGGCTTATCAGTCTTCCATATTTTCTTTATTTCTAGAGAGCCTATGTTCCTTGTCTCCTTTTTGTGCTTACAAAGAAGAAGCCAACATTTGTATTTCTTCAGATACTATAGGCACCTTATATTGTATGGTTGGGCCATCTGTCTACTCAGTCTGTTAGACATTGGAGAACATTCCCTTTTGTAAATAACAGAAGTAGAACAGAGGAATTATTTGTATCTCTACCAATTATTTGGAGAAAAGAGTATCTGGGTAGGTAGGACTCAAGATAGCTGGGGTGCACAGATACAGGTGATTTTTCGCAAAAGGATGATGAAGGATCTCTGGAAGCTGATCCATGTCTTACACCTTGTTTTTTTACTTCTGAAGTTAGAATAATAGTAATTGTAAGTGTCAGTGCTGGGTGTTTTAGCTCATTGCCACTGTCATGTGCCTTTTACTCAAAACTCTGAACCTGAAAGATTTTTTTTTAAATTTTAAGTAGAAGGTCAAGATTTATAACTCTTTTGAAAGAATTATGAAAAGCTGGAGTATTATTAGGACCAGCTGAATTCCATCTCATAGCTTATATATTCTAATAGTTTTTGTTTTAGAGCTTAGAAAGAGTCATTACAGAGTTCTTAGATTTTTTTTTTTTTATGTAAATAATCAGCTAGTTCTGGGCTCTTTGTGAGGTATATATATGCACACACATATTATATGTGTGTGTATATGCACACACATATCTCAGTATGCATATATCTATTCTGTGGTGAACTGGGAAGGTAGGGAAGGTTTTGGTTTAGTATTTCCAGTGACTTTCCCTCCTGCTTTTATTGTATCTTAACTTAGTTGAGATAATATTTTGGAAGGCTAAGGTGCATTTTGTAAATAGGTTTGGCTCTTGAATCCTTTGGGGGCCCCACTTCTGTGTATAATATGTCTGTAATTTGTAGATTGGTACTCTATAGAAATATGAAAATGGTTTTATCTGTTGTAGTGAGATTTTAACTGAATATAATAGGAAAACAAAACAAAACAGAGTCCCCTTTCCAGCTTTCTCAGAGCATAGCAACTGGTGTGTTGAGAGGAGGTTTATACTTTTCAAATTTAACCATGATCTCAAAATATGGCTTGTATTTTCAAGGCAAGTTTTGTTTTGTTCAGTTTTGTTTTCATGCTGTTAGCCTCTTCTAGCATCCTATCTGGTAGGCTGTATAACTTGGGATCTAGTTATTCTGGTTTGTGTATTCCCAGAAAGAGAGGGTACTACAGAAATAATTCAAAGTCATTATTCTGTTTTTTTTCTCCCTTATTCATATCTTTTGGCCCACTTAAATATATAGTTGATTTATTGATCATTTCCCACTCTTTGGAGTTGAGTATAAATGAAATGAATGATGACTAGAACTGAAAAGTTACTCTGAGCCTTATTTATTCATTTTTCTACTAAGTGAGGGACTTGAACTCTGGGATGTATGAGATAA